ACTTTTTGTCAAACATTCTAGAGTTAAAAGCAATGGGTTTATAAGTAAAACAGAACTTTGCGGTTAAAAAGTTTTGGCAATGATCTTGATCTATATCCCACTTTGTAGTGATATTGAAAGGTACCGTGATGATATGAGAAGGTCACCCATTTAGGGTGCCATTAAATGATTGACGCTACATCATGTTTGATATTTGGTTCGTTATGTAAGGTTAATCCCTAGGTGTATTATGAACACAATGAAACGTTTAGCAGCTCGTGATCAACACAGCCCGACATTTTCCAATATCCTCTCATTAGTGGCTAGAATTTACAATATATTTTTCATCGTATAAAACATGATGATGATATGTGACTCTGATTTTCCATATTAATGAATTGTCAGCTGAAATAAACCCTTCATATATATCACATTAAAGGCATCGGCCATTTTGTTGATCCAATATTCCTGGTAGACCCATTAACAACTGGTAATAGTGTACATTATCCTTGTGTGATATTAGGTTACCACTGATAGCTTCTGACTAGAATGACAGAGATACTGATGGCTGTACATCTGATTAGGCACAAGAGGCAAGCCAGACCTGGAATCAAATAAAAAACACTTGATGCTCAGCTGTTTGGGGTATATTTTCATGGACAAGGTTATGTGTTAATGTCATTCATTAATACATTATTGAATATAATATTGTGAGTTTATTGTCCTGGTTTGGGGCACATTTAGATGTATATAGTATAATGCAATTTTATGAAATGGCTGACACATCACTTTAAAACAATTTCAGTCAGATAATAAGGTTTTTAGTCGCAGAATGTAAAGTTAACAATGAATGACAAACTGGCTACCGAACATGAGGTTAAAGTATGAGGGTTTGTATACTGAATTTCCAATCTGAGTATTATGTCATGGCTATTGAATATTTGATTTGAGTATGATATCATGGCTATTGAATATTTGATTTGAGTATGATATCATGGCTATTGAATATTTGATTTGAGTATGATGTCATGGCTATTGAATATTTGATTTGCGTATGATGTCATGGCTATTGAATATTTGATTTGAGTATGATATCATGGCTATTGAATATTTGATTTGAGTATGATATCATGGCTATTGAATATTTGATTTGAGTATGATGTCATGGCTATTGAATATTTGATTTGAGTATGATGTCATGGCTATTGAATATTTGATTTGAGTATGATGTCATGGCTATTGAATATTTGATTTGAGTATGATATCATGGCTATTGAATATTTTATTTGAGTATGATGTCATGGCTATTGAATATTTGATTTGCGTATGATGTCATGGCTATTGAATATTTGATTTGCGTATGATGTCATGGCTATTGAATATTTGATTTGCGTATGATGTCATGGCTATTGAATATTTTATTTGAGTATGATGTCATGGCTATTGAATATTTGATTTGAGTATGATGTCATGGCTATTGAATATTTGATTTGAGTATGATGTCATGGCTATTGAATATTTGATTTGCGTATGATGTCATGGCTATTGAATATTTGATTTGAGTATGATATCATGGCTATTGAATATTTGATTTGAGTATGATATCATGGCTATTGAATATTTGATTTGAGTATGATATCATGGCTATTGAATATTTGATTTGAGTATTATGTCATGGCTATTGAATATTTGATTTGAGTATGATATCATGGCTATTGAATATTTGATTTGAGTATGATATCATGGCTATTGAATATTTGATTTGAGTATGATATCCCTGCTACTTACACATATTTAATATATATTGGTTCTTGCCTCTGAAAATTGAATGTAAATGGGACTATGAAATTCTGTCTACAAGTATTAAATTTGAGTATGAGATTCGGGCTATGGAATATTGAATATGAGTATGAGATTCTGACTAAATGATATTGAGTTTGAGTATGAGATTCTGACTACACAATGTTGAGTTTGAGTATGAGATTCTGTCTTCAGAATATTGAGTTTGAGTATGAGATTCTGACTACACAATGTTGAGTTTGAGTATGAGATTCTGTCTTCAGAATATTGAGTTTGAGTATGAGATTCTGACTAAACAATATTGAATTTGAGTATGAGATTCTGACTAAACAATATTGAATTTGATCATGAGATTCTGGATAAAGAACATTTGAGTGTGAGTTTGTAGCTGAAGATTATGATATTGTGGCTGCTGAATATGTAATCTATATATGGGATTAGGGCCACAAAACATTGAATTTGAGCTGCTGCAGTACGTGGGAAACTGCAAATGTCTCATCTCTGCAGTTCTGAGATAACCAAGCAGAGTACAGCCAGTAATAACTATTACATGTATAATTATTGTTCTAAGCTTATCACGCAGCCTTCCCCAAATTGGAAATGACATTTGAATTTTCAGCTGATAACTAACCAGGTAATCGGTGAAATAACCCAGACATATTTAGTTGGATTTATTGACCATCCTGATGATAACTCCTGCCTGATTGATTGAGTATACAGACATTTTATCACCGGAATCCTAATGTCCCATTAAAAAGGGGTTAATGGAGTCCTTTTTAATGACCTGTCCAGATATTTAATGAATCTGTGCTTTGTTGATAAGACATTCAATTTGTGGTGATATTGGGATAACTTCGGTGCATCGAAATTGTCTGGAGGTATCTGTAATTTTCTGGCCTTTCGGATGATCTCACTAGGATCTGTAGTATTACACAAGGTATGTGATTAATTTCTGTTTAAGGAAGATAAAGTGTTGATGGTTTTATAAACAAGTATCGGGATTATAGATATGGCGGTAGTTGTAAAGGTTACCCTTCCCAGAGAACATCAACAAAATTAAAACTTTACATCACATTTACTCAAGTTTTCATATTGAAATGAAAAAATCAATTGCAAACCTCTTGATGACAGATTATACTTTGATTTTTCCATGAGAGTGTTGTTGCATATGGTAGCATTTTTTAATTAAATGTTAAGATAAAAAATAACATGTAGGATTCCATGAAGGGACCATGTTGCTTTGTTTGTTTGTTGGATTTATCGCCCTGTAAAAAGCCAGGGTCATTTTGTGACAGGGTCTCCTTGTAGTAGTTAGTGACTTCCTAACAGGGCAGCATGTGAGAGGACGATCGTGAGCCATTAAGAGCAATTAGAGTAAAATGTCTTGCCAAAGAACACAACCACATCAGCTCAGATTGGTCCATCTTTCAGCTTCGAGAGAAACACTCTAAGCAGCCACGGATAGGGACAGTCTGTCCATGTAGTCTGAATCTTCACCTGAAGTTACGTTTTTAGACAACACTCAGGGTGAGCTGAGTCTGTCCATGTAGTCTGAATCTTCACCTGAAGTTACGTTTATAGACAACACTCAGGGTGAGCTGAGTCTGTCCATGTAGTCTGAATCTTCACCTGAAGTTACGTTTATAGAAAACACTCAGGGTGAGCTGAGTCTGTCCATGTAGTCTGAATCTTCACCTGAAGTTACGTTTATAGAAAACACTCAGGGTGAGCTCTTATTGCTCCTTTGAAGGGACAAAGGAAACCATAAAGGAAATGGGAAAAAGGGGAGGGGGATTCAGTAAAACTGTAGTACAAGTTTAGCATAATATAAGTTTTTTGGTTCTAAGCCACTTCACCTTATCAAGGGAATAGAAATTCGAGGAGTGGGGGGATGGGGGTGGGGGGGAGGATGGAAGTTTTTATTCAGTTATCAAATACATATTAACTAACTTTCTGGCTGGGGAATCACACGTCGATAACTTGTAAAATCTGAGAGGTGTGGTTTGATCCCTATCAGGAAGGAGAGTGTGTGTTTGTCAGGAAGGTCGCGTCACAGATCACCATGTATTGTAATGCTTGTGCTGTTAGGCTAGACACTATATGGTAATTGCTTTGGATAGCATATGGTGGGCCTTAGACAACTTTCTATGTTTCCCAAAATTTTTCGGGAGGGAGGGAGTATATAGTCATCACCTTGTCAGTCCATCTGTCTTTTGTGTCTGGAGCATAACTTTGGGCAGAGCTAAGAATGGATTGTGAAACTTGGTATATATATTGGTCATACTAAGGGGATTTGCAGTATATCAAATTCATTGTGCATGTTTACAAAGAAATCAGAGCTTTGAAAATATGTTTTTGAAGGGAAAACAATAGGAAATCTGTGTTATTTTTGCCTTTAACATTTGTATTGTATTTTATATCATTCAAGGAATGTTTTGCATCTTAATCTCTTTCTTTAATTATGAAACCGTAGCTGTAGCATCCATATATATCTTGATGTTTACTCTTTAGTGTCATAATATATGACTTCGCTGTCGTTGAATCCAAGCAAATGCTATTTCCTTCGATTAGCAATAAATTTGATACGTGTGAGTCCGAGATAATCACGGGTGAAATGATGAATGATTTCAATGGCTTTCATTCAATAGTTGTTATTAGATGTCATTATTGTCATGATGATGAAGAGAAAAGTTGTTATTTCTTCCACAGAAATCTTGTGAAATATTAACAGATGTGCAATCTATATTCTTTTTTTTTTTGTCTTAAACAAAATAATGTTGGAATTCAAAATAATGTTGGAATTCAAAATAATGTTGGAATTCAAAATAATGTTGGAATTCAAAATAATGTTGGAATTCAAAATAATGTTGGAATTCAGGATCTGTCTTTTTTTTCTTCTTGTATGTTGCTAGATTTAATGATAGATCAGAAACTGAATGAAAATTTATTTTTTCAAAGAAACATGTACATATTTTAGAGGTAATTTTGTGTTAGTTCTTTTTTCATGCTGAAAGTTTTGCGCTAAAATGAATTTGCACTTATTGCACATTCTTTATACTGCTTATAAATGGAAGCACAAATTTATCATTGCATTAATCATAATTTACTCTAAAATTTAAATTAAAACCAAATTATGCGAGTTTACAATATTTAATGTCCTGTCATATGCTTTCTTTTATCTTTGCAGCATTTCTTGGTTGTCTTCAAAAACCACACTCGCCATGAGACTAAATACAACCCCAGATTCCTTAGGGGAGACAACTCACAATTCTGAGAATTACTCTACAGTTACTTTGCTATCAGAACTGACTTCTAAAGTGTTAAGACAAACAGAGCCTTCACTAGTGACGTCTAGCTGGCAGACTTCTTCAGTACCTGCCTTCTCAAAGTCTGTGTCATCACAGGTGTTACATCAAACTGTGGCCAATTTGACTACAAGTACAGCTACATATGTCTCACCTCTGATGAATTCTACAAACACAACAGGATTACCGGATAATCTGGGCAGTTGTAGTGACTGGCAAGAAGTTCAACATGCACTGTTCCAGTTAGCCAATCTGTGCCTGGTTTTATCGTTCTTAACACCAACAAACTTTCAACATCATGCATTTTTTCTACGATTTATTTTAGGGTTTGGATATTTATTTTTCTCTGTATGGGCCGGATTATTCGTTTGTATGCCTGATGTTCTAAGCTGGAATTGTTTGTTCTTTTTGGTAAACACAGGACATTTGACTTATCTTGTATACAGAATGTTTCCGACAAGATTCAGAAGTGAGTTAGAAGAATTATACAGTAAAGTGTTTAAACCTTTAAAAGTGTCACGTCAGCAGTTTCGAGATATTAGTGACCAAGGTGAACTCTATGTGCTGACGAGGGGAACATTTTATGCGAAGGAAGGTTGCACAGAGGGGGGACGTAAACTATCAATACTCGTAAAAGGCAGGTATGTTCTTTTAGTCTATGTATTGTAGTATACCAGAGTATACTGTTAAATCATTTACTTTTCGTGGGGCTGAAATTTTGTGGTTTTCCGTGAAAAAAATTATTTTCATTGGCATTTGATTTCATGGATCAACAGTACTCACAAAATCAACTAGTAGTAAGGTAAAGGAAATGCTGAACTTTTCATAATTTGGTGGACATTTGAATCCATTGATTAGAGTACCCACGAAAGCAAGGAAAAATAAACTACCTCAAAAATTACTGAATTTACAGTTATTAGAATATAATCAGGCAAACAGCAGTTTTTAACTGATCTCTTTGAAACTCAAAATAGTAGACTTCATAATGTATTCATGTAGTTGTGGCCTATTTAATGACATTTAAGCAGATTGTGGAAAAGTGAATGCCTTCTGTACTTTTCGGCATTTCAGTCTCGTCTGAAAATCATGTCTCTCAGTTTTTGACCTATCTTGTTAAAATTTTAAGGTTTGATTGAACTTTTGTTGCATTTTTTTAATATATGTATGTCTTAGATCATGGACTCTGGATTATGTATTGCCCCCCTTGGTGTTCTCCTTTGGAAGCAGACCAGGATTCTGCAGCATTATATTCGACACCATATTAGGATAATGTCATACTTGACAACGTGGCTATAAATCATACTGATTGAGTAACCACAGAATTTGTAGCAAAGGCATACAAAATAGCAACACATACTACCATAATTAGCTGTGACTTGAGTGAGAGTTTATGGCTTTGCCGAGTTGCCAAGGTAACAACAATTTAGGCTCCATGGCTAACATCACTGACGAGTTTTTGAGTGGCAAACAGCTGTAGGATTCAGTTTGTTTCGTTATTTATCGTGAATTTATCTCACTCTGAATTTATCTTGAAAGGTGCATGCTCTTCACTTGGATGACTTTTATACAGTCTTTGAGACTGGAGTCGCTGTTTAGAGACTAATTGTGCACTTATCATACGTGAAGTTTGCTGTGTCTTGTATATGCACACATGCTTCTGAAATCATTCATATAAAGATATGAAATTCATTGAAGTTTGGGTTTTGTGTACATCCCCATTTGGTATATGACATTTCAACCAATTTTGATTTTCCTCTGTTGCTTCCTAGGTTACAACAATTTAGACCTTTAGTATAAATGACAAATCTTTAAGTAGGAAACAATTGTATCGTCTGTCTGTCCATAATTTTTGTTACAGTTGTGTCTTAAGAAAAACTATATGAACCAATTTCATATGTAGGTTGCCCTCGCAAAATTGATCTCTTGTTGTACATTGTTCAATTTAGGGGCTATCCGAAAACCAAAAGGCCAACAGCCAGCAATCTGGGACTAGAAGGGTCATTTGCATATTTCATATTTAGGTTGCCCTTGGTCACTCATATTGGGTCTGATCAGTACAACAAAATGGCTGACAGACAGTCCATATGGATTTTGACAATAAAAGTTTGTCATCACTATTTCTTGAAAAGCACTGGATAGAATGTTTAAAAGATAAGCTTGCACTTTGTCATTAGTTGTGGAAAGTCCAGTTTGAGACTGATCAGGAGAATAAGATCGCGGACAGACAACCATCTTTGATTGACCAGTTCAAGATTAATATCACTATTTCATAAGAGGAGTTTTAAAGAACAAATAAAGATCAAACAATGGTGGGCGCCAAAGTCCGATAAGAACTTCTTGTTAATTTAAACTCCAATTTGAATTAAGGATTTCAATAATATACATGTAGAATTATGATTAAGTATACCTGGTCTCCTGTATTTGCCGATTTCGAGGCCTACACATACAAAGTCATTAATATACTGTCTGTTCATTTGATTTAGCACACTCTTATTTTAGCGTTTTGAGGGGGTTAGACATATAAGTACACAAACAGTTAACACCATACTAAAAGCATTGAATTCATTAAGTCAATTTTGAGTTCAAGATATCATCACATCTGAAAGCTGGAATTTTTCAAGTTTTCACCAAATTAATGGGCACTTTAGTTTGTGAATTAAAGAAGAGTGAAAGGGGAAAGTTGTTTGACACATGTAATATGCTTGAAATTAAGATATAAAGATTTCAAGCTTAAGATGTGAGATGTCAGTGTTTATTCCCCTAGTCTCTTGACAGATAAGTCCTTCAATAGTCCAAGAGATCATCACATAACCTTTAATTAGTGGTCCATGGTCAGGTGGTTCAGTTGTAATAAATTTGCCTTTCATCTAGATGTCCGGGGTTTGTTTCCCAGAATGGACATTGAAAGGTATGGGGTCTCCTGTTTGACTACATGGGTTTTCCCTGGTTACTGCATGTTCATTCCATTAGTAAGACCCCTTGCAGGCTTCCATCCCTGCCAACAAGAGTATAGTAAAGTAAAAATCTTAAAATTGTCGTAAAATAAATTTGTAAAAATAACTTTTGAATCCAAGGAGAGAGGTCCAAGGATGTCACATGTATTAAGCATTTCTACCAACAATTTAACAGATATGTGAGTTTAATATCAGGTCCTTATATATTGCAAGACATTTGACAATGAAATTGATTTGTCAGTTATGTTAATTTCATACAACAATAATTTTGTGTTTATAGATCATGTCACCTTTTTTCCTGTGATAATTGAAGGGTCTGATTGTAAAGGAGTGATATTTCTGTAAAAATCATGAAATATTCCTTTCTGAATATAACCTAATCCTTGTTATTTACTTCTGTAGGTTAAAAGTGCTGTATCAGCAGTTATTTCTACATTTCATCGAGGCTGACCAGCTAGTCGACTCACCTGAGTATGATTCTTATCGCCTGAGTGGGCACTCAGGAACTACTTACCAGGTAAGTAAAGAAGAGCAGTAGGGGGATTTGGGGTGATGAGTGGATACAGAGCAATGGGGGGATACAGCACAACAGGGAGATATAGAACAATGGGGAGATATAGAGCAATGGGGAGATACAGAAAAACAGGGAGATATAGAGCAATGGGGAAATATAGAACAATGGGGAGATATAGAGCAATGGGGAAATATAGAACATTGGGGAGATATAGAGCAATGGGGAAATACAGCACAACAGGGAGATATAGGACAATGGGGAGATATAGAGCAATGGGGAGATATAGAACAATGGGGAGATACAGCAATACAGGGAGATATAGAGCAATGGGGAGATATAGAGCAATGGGGAGATATAGAACATTGGGGAGATATAGAACAATGGGGAGATATAGAGCAATGGGGAGATACAGCAATACAGGGAGATATAGAGCAATGGGGAGATATAGAACATTGGGGAGATATAGAGCAATGGGGAGATATAGAACAATGGGGAGATACAGCACAACAGGGAGATACAGCAAAACAAGGTAATACAACACAACATAGCTTCAAAGGACAACTATAATGTTTATTTTGCCATAAGCCTAGGGTTACTTTTTAGTCTAAGGTATCCTTGGATTAAAAATACTAAAACTGATACTATAGGCTTATTGCAGGAAAATGCCAGGTAATTTCAGTTGAGTATTAAGGGGGTGTTTTGTCTTTAAAAGAAAAAAGAAAGGGAAAAAAAACACCTAGAAAGTTATAATGTCACAATCATAAAGAGAAGTACCAGGTAACTTGTGGAAGTGGTGAACAATTGATATACTATAAAAATAGGTAAGTAGGGGCATTAATGAAGATTCAGGTGTGTTCTGATGGATGTGTGTGGAAAGGTATGGGGAAAGTCAGGAAATGGACGTTAAGTAGAAAATGGATGGAAGGTTAGTGTAGTGAACAGGTTGAGAATATAGAGTGGATGGAACTAAGAGAAGAATAAAGCTATATATGACACTGTGAATGAATGTATCTCTTACATAGAGAATTAATGGATAAAAGGGGGTTATAAAAAGGCTATAAACTTGATTTCATTCAATAATTGTCAAAGGAACTAATAGTGTATGTCAATTACTGTTGTTGGCCCCGATGGAAGCTTGGGAAGGGTATTAGTGCTGTGGAAGGAAACCTTGGGAAAACATGGTCAGGAGGGTGACCCCAGCAGGGATTAGAGTTCATGCCTCTGTGGTGACCAAGTGATTTTAATCTAATAATTTCACAGCAGTTAACAGCTTTATCAATTTGGATGCTGTAGTAAGTAGCACATTTTAGACAGCCTTCTTTTGGCTGTAACACGTGTAACCAAAAATCTTTGTGTCCGATCGGGGAATTGTAACACATTTTTGACCAAGGAAAGAGCCTTCGTTTGGCTGTAAATCATAGCAAAAATCAGTGTGATAAAAAAATCTTTGTGTCCGATCGGGGAATTGAACATCAGTCACCTAGGTGAAAGGCAAGTGGGCTACAGCTATACCACCTGACCACACAAAAGGGTTTTAGAGAAAAAGAGGTTGTGAGTAGTAAAGAATTTATCAAGGCGGGGAAATATGTAGGTGTAGAATGGACAGTTAGGCTGTGGTCATAAGCTAATTAACTTAAATGTAGTATCAGATACATTTTTATGATAATGAACAATCTGTTTTGTATAATGAAAGCTATTACTTTCCTTGGGTAATAATGATGAGGGAATTTGATTTTAAAGGCCAGTAATGGACAGTCACTTACATAAAGCCTGCCTTTCATCTTTATTTTTGTAATCTATGATAAAAATCTATTGATAAACAAAATGGAGGGCTGTCCCTATTCTGTATCAATTTGCTGCATAATCCTTAAGAACACTGTCCATTAAATGTCATTACGAAAAGACATAAATGGTCTTATATAGATAACATTAAATCCCGAATCTTCTTTACAATCAGTGACACAGTAGACAAGAAGTCCTTTGAGAAATAAGTGGATCTCTATGATGGTAAATGATGATGGTTATGTAGAGTTTGACCTATATACTTATCTGATATTTATGGATCAGCTTCATAAAAAAAAATTGTCCTCAATAAATATGTATCTGTTTATCAACACAATGGATTTATCATTGTCAAGGCAAACTTTTCAACAATCTTTGCTTCATAATGGTAGTTGTATGCTAGAGCTAGTTATTGATCTTTACGTAACTTAAATTATCTGCACGATATTGATTGTATCTGACCTTCACCTGTTCAAGGTCATATCAATGTATATGTGTATGACCTTCACTTTTTCTAATAACTGATGCTACTGTATTTGTGTAACATTCATCTGTTCAGTAAGATGTGACTTTGTGTGTATGACCTTCACCTTACCATATTGCTGTAACTAATTTATATGACCTTTATGGTGTATGACCTTTGATAGTCCAAGATGATGTTATTATCTTTGTATGACCTTTGTCAGTCCAAGGTGATGTTACTCCATGAGTATGATCTTCATGGTGATGATACTATATTTGTATGACCTTTGCCAGTCCAAGGTGATGTTACTCCATGAGTATGATCTTCATGGTGATGATACTATATTTGTATGACCTTTGCCAGTCCAAGGTGATGTTACTCCATGAGTATGATCTTCATGGTGATGATACTATATTTGTATGACCTTTGCCAGTCCAAGGTGATGTTACTCCATGAGTATGATCTTCATGGTGATGATACTATATTTGTATGACCTTTGCCAGTCCAAGGTGATGTTACTCCATGAGTATGATCTTCATGGTGATGATACTATATTTGTATGACCTTTGCCAGTCCAAGATGATGATGACCTTCATCTGTTTAAAGTGATATTAATATATATGTATGACCTTCACCTGTTCAAAGGTCACCTGCTGGTGAAACCAAAGGGGACTATAGTTTTGTCTCTGTCTGTCTGTCCAGCTGTATGGATGTTGGTTTCCAGACAATAAATTGAGAAAAGATGGACGGATTTAAATGAATCCTCATTAACTGTTAAGTTATGAGACCATACAGAGTGGAAATGAGTTTGGGGCCAAAAGGTCAACTACAAAGGTCACTGTCATTAAAACTTGATATTTTTCATCAAATTTTGGTTTCCAGATGATAACTTCATAAAGGAAAGATGAATTTGGTTGAATCTTCATACACTATTAGCATATTAGGTAATACAGGGTGGAATTAAGTTTTGGGTCAAAAGGTCAACCTTAAAGATCACTATTGCTAAAAACAGACTTTTATCACCAAATTTTGGTTTCCAGATGATAACGTCAGAAAGGATCGAAACTTCCTAAGATGTTAGCTAATGAAGTAATAAAGTGTGGTATTGAGTTAGGGGTCATAAGGTCAACTACAAAGGTTACTGCTACTAAAAATAGACTTCTATTGTCATAGTTTTGCTTCCAGATGATAACTTTTCATCAGGTTGACTGTTTATATTGAAACTTGATGGAATCTAATACTATTACAAAATATATAGGGTGATGTTGAGTTAGGGGTCAAAAGGTCAACTGTGAATGCTGTGGAGGTCACTTACTGCATTAGACATTTATCATCATTTTAGGGCTCACATCAAAGATGCAGGAAGCAAAGTTTGTCAGAATAACACCAGTAGTCAACTGTCCAATATTCAAGCTCACTGTGTCAAAAGGTCAAGGTCAAATCTTACATCTTTTCATGTGTATACTAATAATGTATCTAAATGGTAAAATTTACCTTTAAAGGTCAGACACAAAGTTGGGTCCTTTCTGACATGTCAGTGTTTTAGTTTGTTTCCCAGATAAATACAATATTAATCACAAGGGAGTGCATATAAAGTTTTCTCCACATTTTCTTCTGGTGTTTTGTTTCCTTCCCATCAAGAAACTGGTTTTGGAGGAAAGACTTTCAATTGTGAAAATGAGACATCTTTTTATTGCTATCAAGGTCAATGCTGCTTAGAAAATTTAATTGACAGCAGGGGACGAGAGTTGCATGCAACACTTATTGTAAGCTTGTATGTAGTGACCTTCACCTGTTCAAGATGATGTTACTGCATGTGTATGACCTTCACCTGTTTAAGTTGACATTCATTAGTTGAAGGTCATGATGTTGATATGTAGCAGTGTTCTGAATGAGTTTTGTTTTAGTCTCTAATTCTCATCAGAATGACTTATAATGATAATACAAAGACTTTCAAGTATGTTGAATAAGTTGGTAGCAGTTTTAATTCAAATTACCCTCTGTGAAGGCATATAACTCATAAAAGAAAAACAGATACTGTCTTAATCAACATTTGTTGTATTTGTAGGAGCATTTAGTATAAAAGAAATGACCAATTTTTCAAAGTTGGAAAGTATAGGGTTCAGAATTCATGGGATTTAGTCAAACACCAAGATAAATTTGTGTGAACTTGCCTGATCTGGTGTAAACACAAAGTAAGTTTTATACTCACAAACATAGAAGGTTAGCATTATTTTTTTATCATATGATTAATTTTGAGTTAGCAGTTCAATTTTCTTCAAACGTACATATTTTCTGGCTGTTTTCATTGATGTAATATGAATTTCTGCATTGCAGGTTTCAATTGAAGCAGCAGATGACAGCCTTTTACTGACGTGGCCCATTCCACAGCTGAGAAAACATCTAGATTCAGACAGTTTCATGGCAGCCATTCTCCACATCCTGGTGGGGAAGGATGTCAGTACCAAACTTTACCAGATACAAGAACTGTTACTCAATAATCCAAACTATATGCAGTCTGTGTCCAGTCGGCGGTCATCACTGGTCAATGTACGCAGTGCAATCGTAACAAATAAATCCAATCCAGACTTGAACAGATTAAATTGCTTTGGAATTGATCTCAAAGGTAACTACTTTAGCCCACTATCATCAGGTAGTGGACTGCATTCAAATTACCCTTTTTTTAGGTCATATGACCGAAGGGTCTGATGACCTATTGCGATTGCCTAATGTCCGGCGTCGTCCGTCGTAAACATTTTCAACTTCTTCTCAAGTTCTACATGTCTCATTCAGCTGAAACTTACCTGAAATGTTCGTGACATGAACCTGACAAAGTTTGTTAACTTCGGGTTGGTCCAAAATCCAACATGGCCGTCATCTTGAAAACACATTTTCGACTTCTTCTCAAGTTAAAAATTTGAAATCTTGTATTTTATGTCAGATGACCATTAAGGCCCATGGGCCTCTTGTTTCCTTTGTCCTTTCTTCATGTCATCTTGCCACTAGCAAGCCTTGTTAATAATTATTTCTTGAGAAGTACTACAGAAACCATTGTAAGACTGCGGCTTTAGGTTCCCCTCTGTCCCCACTTGAGCCCATTTAATTTTTAGACTGATCCTTGAGACAAAATCGCCAACAGGTTGCCATCTTGGAATTTAGCAGTTGAAATTATCGTTTTTTCTTGAGAAGGACTTGAGAGATATTTCTCAAACTGTTTACAGCATGGTCCCTTGTTGTGCCCATTTAATTTAGAGACCGATCAATGAAACAAAATGGCCAACAAGCAACCATATATCATTTTGACAGTTTAAGTTTGTTATCGCTATTTCTTTTGAAGTAATAGAAGGATATTCTTCACACTTGATGTGTGTATGTTCCCCATGGTCCTTATTTAAGCCCATATGACTTTGAGAGTGATCAGTGAAACAAACCAGCGGACAGGCGGCCATCTCGGATTTTGACAGTTGAAGTTTGTTATCCCTATTTCTAAACAAGCTCTTGTTAGATCGTTTTTTAAGGTTTCATATGTAGGATTCCCTAGGATGAAATGATAAAGAGGAAAAGGTGAAAGACGGGAATGTAGAGATCAGTCTTGCATAGAACCAATAACGATTATTCAATTCCTTTGGGTTCTCTTGTTGCAGAATGAACTGTCCCATTATCTCAAAGTTCATTTCCTTGCACTTTTACTTGGCAGGCTAACACCATGATCTACATTGTACTCTCAGCTATGTTGAACCTGAGCACTTGTCTGGATATAGACAATCCCTTCGCCTCTTCTATTATATATTGCTTAATCTTATGATGCGAATTAAAATTTATTTTGGCAAAGTTATGTAATGCACTCTGGTACATGTACACATTAAACTTATTGGGAGGTTTAAATCTGGCTGTTGCCAGTTGATCCTTTACTTTTTTTTACCGTTCCATCATCAGATAGTCAGCTATTCCAATCGCCCTACGTCCTTGGTCCTTGTCTGTCCATCCATCCTAAAACAATTCTTATTATTGCTAAATCTAATGAAGTTTTAGATGGATCTTTCTGAAATTCAAGATGTAGGTTTCCCTTGTCTCTCATTGTGCCTGTTTGATATTGGGACTGATCAGAAAAACAAAATGGCCAAAAGGTGGCCATCTTGGATTTTTTCAATGAAGTTTATTATTGCTATTTCTTAAGACGTGCTTGATGGATCTTTCTCAAATTTTATATGTCGGTTCCTCGTGGTCCCTAGTTGTGCCGTGATGATTTTCAGACTGATCAGAATAGCACAATGGCCAACAGATGGCCATCTTTGATTTTGATTTTGAAAGTTTGTTATTGCTATTTCTTACTACATAGATCTTTCTCAAATTTCATGTGAAGGCTTCAGTTGGTCTCTAGTGACTGCTTGATTTTGGGACTAAAACTAAAACTTGACAAACTACAATCTAAAGTTATACCATTTTGCAAATTGTAAAATTTCAGAAATATTTAATAGAGTTATACCCCTTTTTGTAGATATTCTGTATGGAATATTGTGTTACGTAGATCTAATAAAGACCTGATGCAATATTTCTCAAACTTGGCATACTACATTCCTATGATATATGTCTGTGCTCTATCGCTTTTCATTTAAACTTAATCAAATGCTACAGCTAATTATAGCCTATAATTTGACATATTAGGTGTTCCAAAACTAAGGAAACACTTTGTAGACTTCTTATTGTTGAAATTAAGATATTATCTGATTAAGTTGAAAATTGGTATAAAAGGGTTTAGGGGATGATAAATACAATGATAGGATTTTTCAAATGAAAATTGTTTCCATTTAGTCTCAATGGTGATCAAATGAAGACCTTTTTGAGGAATCTTGTTGGGACAACCCCTCCAAAATTATTGTTGATTGGAGAGGAGGGACAGTTCTAGTTATCAATATTTCTGCATTAATGTTTAATTTTCTTATCATTAAGAGCAAAAACAGAGAAGAGAAAATAAGTGGAAAATATCCAACAAATAAAGACCAAATCAATGATGGACAGCAAGATCCTTCTGGGATCTCTTGATGGTTTCACATTTAGTATATATATCATTCCAACAGAAGAGAAATATTTCAATGTTATAATTATGTTTCAAGAAAGATTTTGCTAGTTCAAGGTCGGAAGAAGTCATATGTGATGAAAAAATGCTTAACAACTTCTTTGTCAAAACTTTTACAACTGCAGTAGGGATGATTTTGTTCTGAAACTCAAGGGGGAAATGTAAAGTTTGTCAAATCAAATCACATTAAACCACTTTTGCATTAAAAAATGTATCAACATTGAAAATATCCAACATCTTCTACAGAACCCTGATTCTGAAAGTCATGTCTAAACAATGTCTTAAAATACAGATTGTTAGCATTATGCAGATTTATTCAACATTTTAGGTCATCTGACCAAAGGGTCTTATGACCTATTGTGATCGCCTTTTGTCTGGCGTTGTCCGTCGTAAACAACTTCAACTTCTTCTCAAGTTCTACATGTCTCATTCAGCTAAAACTTACTTGAAATGATCGTGACATGATCCTGACCAAAGTTTGTTAATTTCGGGTTGGTCTGAAATCCAACATGGCTGTCATCTTGAAAACACATTTTCGATTTCTTCTCAAGTTCAAAATTTAAAATCTTGTATTTTATGTCAGATGACTGTTAAGGACTATGGGCCTCTTGTTTGATAAATGATCAGTTTCATATTTGTCTTTAACCTTTTCAGCTTTTTTATGTATGCTATAACTATGGTGAATATTCTTTTTGTCCTTGTTTTAACAGGTTGGCCTTCATCATCTTCTGCTTCAAATTCAAATTTTGATGCCTCACAGTATCCAAAAGACACATATGAAAGTTGTGTATGACATCATCAGTATTGTATCTGATATCATGCAGTGTGACAGCACTATACATCTGCAGTTTGTATCGTCCTTATATGTGTGAATAATGCCATGAGATGACATTGTTGTGTTTTGTGTACTATGTCATCAGTTTCTGTGTATAACATTAAGTCATCAATGTTGTGTAGTGTCTTTCAATGACTTTATGGGTACAATGAAAAAATATCATAGTTCTAGCACATAACTTGTCACACCAAAACATTTACATCAACCAAAGGACATTCATTAATAACACCTTATCAGTGTTACACAGATGAAAATTTAGCTTCAGACATTATTTTTTAGTTCTAAACACCCACTTGTTCGAAAGAATTAGTTTAGTAAATTTTGGATCAAATTTTAGATATTGATTTCTAATAAATTTAAAACATGAATTTCAATTAATTGGCAGCACATGATCTTAAAATTAGTTTTATAAAATCAGATTTTAATCACATTGTGATTTCAGGAAGTGCTTGGAATAACTCATTGGAACTAACCTGGAATTACAGTCAATCTAAAAAAAGTTTTTCAATAAAACTGAAATTAAATACATGTAATTCTTGATATTTCTAAAAAATATCTTTTTCCAGAAACTTTTTTGTTTTTAATCAGAGGGTGGAAAGTTGGAAATGAAATGCCCCTCTACATGCATAAGACATGGCCAAGATTTTTATCAATATGTGGTTCCTACCTCAAATTTTTAATTCTTCAGAAGGAAAAAAGAAATAAAAAAATTAATGGCAGAATGATTTTTTTAAAAATCATGATTTAAGGTGAAATTGATAATGTTTGATATAGTTTAGATTATTTTGGGACCAAAATTAAAAAACCATAAAGGCTCAAGTTTATTTTTTGACATGCTTTAATTCGTCTTCGCTTGAGCTTTTTACTACCGTATATGTCGCAATTCACTGTAAGGAAAGACAACTCTTTGAAGAAAGTAACTTGTCATTGTGCTTGTCCACTGGTACTGTAAGTGAATGCCATTTGGTCATTTCTCCAGGCCGTTAGAAGGTATTACAATATATGTGACTTTCATAGAGCTACAACAATAAGCATATGAGAAATAAATGCTTATCCTGTTTATCCAGCAATAAGCCTTTTCCTGGAAATAAGTCCATCCATATTTAATTGCTATTCAGTAATAATTTCAAACAATTTTTTTTTTTCATTTCTTGTAATTAGCCCATTATTGACTTTGAATCTAAGATAATGTGTTGGCCTCCTGGGATCCTTTAATAACCCCACCTTTTAACTTTGAGTCTGAGGCAATGTGTCAGTCTCCTATAATAAGCCCACGCCCTAACTTTGTGTCTAAGGTAAAGTGCTGGCCCCCTGGAAGTACTATGTTGAATAAAATTTTCAGGCAATCTTTGTGTTTCTAATATATATTCTTAACAAAGTTATAAATGTACTAGATATGGAAATCATTGAGAGAGAAAAGGGGAGGTAATTCTTCACACTGGGTTTCAAGCACCTCTGTAGTTTATATGTATATTGATGCACTTCTAAATACTTCTAGTTAAAATGTACTTGTTGAGAATACAAAGCCAAAATAGAGGATTTATTGATCAAGAAGTATATTCATGAGAAATTACATAATGTAAATGTATACTTTTCTTTCAATTCTTGCAATCTCTTCAAATTAATATATAATGTTGATAGATAGATTTCATTCTTGAAATTTTCAATTCTCTCTTAATCTAAGAAAATGATCTCTAAATTATAGGGAATATATCTCTATTATTCATAGGGAACACTTTCCTCATAATTAGAAATCATGTATATATAATGTTATTGTAAAGACAAAAATGTTATTGATACTTCAATTTTTACAAAGTACTTTTCTCTCTATATATAGATTACAAATGATGTACAGCACTGATTCTAATTTTAAATTAAATCACCTTAGATTCTTAGCAGAAATTCACCAAGAACTGCAAAATGTAGTATGGATGCATTTCAGGAATATGATAGCATATATAGTAACTGATACCAGTGTATACATGTATGTATTCTAAAATCATGTCTTATCTGACATACTGTATAATCTGACCTCTGACTATTCTGACATCCTGTCTAATCTAACCTCTGAGTATTTTGACATTCTTTCTGATATAACCCCTAAGTATTCTAATAACCTCTCTAGTCTGGCCCCTCAGTATTCTGACAACCTGTCCAATCTGACCCCTCAGTATCCTTACATCCTCTCTAGTCTGGCCCCTCAGTATTCTGACAACCTGTCCAATCTGACCCCTCAGTATCCTTACATCCTCTCTAGTCTGGCACCTCAGTTTTCTGACATCCTGTCAAATCTGACCCCTCAGTATTCTGACATCCTGTTTTTATATAATATTTGAGTATTATGACATTCTGTCTAATCTAACCCGTGAGCATTCCAACATCCTCTCTATTCTGGCCCCTCAGTATTCTTACATCCTGTCTAATGTAATTTATGAGTATTTTGACATCCTGTCTAATCTGACCCTGATTGTACTGACATCCTGTCCAGTCTGATCCCTGAGTATACTGGTATCCTGTCTTATATGACCACTGAATATTCTGACATCCTGTCTAATCTGACCCTGATTGTACTGACATCCTGTCCAGTCTGATCCCTGAGTATACTGGTATCTTGTCTTATATGACCACTGAATATTCTGACATTCTGTCTAATTTGATCCTGATTATACTTACATTAAAGTGTAACACAATGTTGGTCACTTAATTAAGTCAATATAAAAACAACCAAATAAGGACATAATAGATTGCTTGGTATGTAAAACAGATTTTCATTGAATATCAGTGTACTTTCAATGCCATACTAACTGGTATAGTCTATAATGTATTGATCTGTTTTCTTTCTAAAATTACAGAACTGAGGCCAAAAGTTTTTTTATTGATTTGTTAAAAGAAATTACTTATTGTGACAATCATAATTGTGATGCTTTGATAGTTATAATTGTTTTCTTGGTGCTGTCATTTTCTAGCTGTTTTGACATGGTACATATTGTATATCATGATTTGTCCACATCGCATAAAGAAGCTTGACTTTTGTTCTTAAAATCATTGGGGATATACATTTTTGTAATTATACAAGTATTGATGAAATCGTTATTAATTGGTAATCAAGAGAATTTTTAAGGCTCAGAATTTTTATTTTCACTGCAATTTAAGTTTCCAGGTATGATGAGTTTGTTAGCAAGTAATAAAGATAGCCTGTTCATTTTTTTTTTTTAACTTTTTAAATAACAAATTCAAAGTTGATGATATACCATCGAGAAATGTGTTTCTGCTGTGTTGTATGTTTGTTGCCAGGGTCATTATAAGACATGCGCTCCTAATATCGTCTGGTGGCTACCTCAGTGAACAACATATGGAAGGCCCATCACATGCCATTCAGAGCAGTTGGGGTAAAGGATACAACCATAACAGCACAAGACAATATCTCCAATTATCATAATTAAAGAAATATGTAACTATAAAATATAGTTTTTTCCAGGTAAATTGTAAGGTTGATGTAACAAATATGACAAAACATCCTTTTATTACGGTGCAAGTTGAGAAATTAGTTGCAGGATAAAATACGGAAAGAAAAGATTTTATAAGGATATTTATGGTCTGTCTTTGTTTGGTAAATTATTAGAGTCTTGATGAGAGTGTAGTTTACACTACAGTCTGGGTTTTGTTTTCTCTCTCCCCTTTTTTTCAAGGAAAAACTGCTGTAAGGAATTCAGTTTTAAACAGATTTTCATGAGAATATCCACTGTTTATTTCTCAGGGGTGTTTGATTTACAGTGTAAAATGTTCACTGAAATATTCATAACCATGTTTACAGCAGGAAGTTATCACAGTGGAGGAGGGATTTTTAGAATGTTTACAACAAATATTGCTTTTGCTTGCACGAGCATTTACAAACAGATAGTATCGACTGGACAGATGTTTATGAAAACATTTACAGTATTTAAATCAACTCTTTACTGTTATGGATGTTTTAAGAATGTTTATGTCATGAACTAGCTATATTTACAGTGCAATTTGTATGTTTGCAATGTTTAAAGCAGAAAGTAGTTAGTGGAGGGATGTTTATGGGAATGTTTACAGCACAAAAAGTTAGCATTTAGGTGTGCTTATGAGAATGTTTACAACAGAAAGAAGTTAGCCAGGAGAGCTGTTGATGATAATGTTTACAGCAGAAGTTACATTGTAATTAAATGTAACATGGAAGGTTGTTCACAAGAATGTTTACAGCAGAAAACAGTAAGCATGGAGAGGTGTTAATGAGACAGTTCTTGAGAATGTTTACAGCAGAACGTAGTAAGCATGGACAGGTGCTCACGAGAATGTTTACAGCAGAAAGTGGTAAGAATGGAGAGCTGTTCATGAGAATGTTTACAGCAGAAGTTACTTAGTACTTGGCATGGAGAGGTGTTCATGAGAATGTTTACAGCAGAAAGTAGTAAGCATGGAGAGGTGTTTATGATAATGTTTATAGCATAAGTGACTTAATAGTTGACATGGAGAGGCGTTCATGAGAATGTTTACAGCAGAAAGTAGTTAGCATGGAGAGTTGTTAATAATACTGTTTACAGCAGAAAGAAATAAGCATGGAGAGGTGTTTATGATAATGTTTACAGCAGAAAGTAGTAGGCATGGAGAGGTGCTCATGAGAATGTTTACAGCAGAAAGTAGTAAGCATGGAGAGGTGTTCATGAGAATGTTTACAGCAGAAAGTAGTAAGCATGGTGAGGTGTTCATGAGAATGTTTACGGCAGAAGTTACTTAGTAGTTGGCATGGAGAGGTGTTTATGAGAATGTTTACAGCAGAAAGTAGTAAGCATGAAGAGTTGTTCATGAGAATGTTTACAGCAGAAAGAAATAAGCATGGAGAGGTGTTCATGAGAATGTTTACAGCAGAAGTGACTTAATAGTTGACATGGAGAGGCGTTCATGAGAATGTTTACAGCAGAAAGTGGTAAGCATGGAGAGTTGTTAATAATAGTGTTTACAGCAAAAAGAAATAAGCATGGAGAGGTGCTCATTAGAATGTTTACAGCAGAAAGTGGTAAGCATGGAGAGATGTTCATGAGGATGTTTACAGCAGAAAGTAGTTAGCATGGTGAGGTGTTCATGAGAATGTTTACAGCAGAAAGTAGTAAGCATGAAGAGTTGTTCATGAGAATGTTTACAGCAGAAAGAAATAAGCATGGAGAGGTGTTAATGAGAATGTTTACAGCAGAAGTTACTTAGTAGTTGACATGGAGAGATGTCAATGAGAATGTTTACAGCAGAAAACAGTAAGCATGGAGAGGTGTTCATGAGAATGTTTACAGCAGAAAGTGGTAAGCATGGAGAGTTGTTAATAATAGTGTTTACAGCAGAAAGAAATAAGCATGGAGAGGTGCTCATTAGAATGTTTACAGCAGAAAGTGGTAAGCATGGAGAGATGTTCATGAGAATGTTTACAGCAGAAAGTAGTTAGCATGGAGGGGTGTTCATGAGAATGTTTACAGCTGAAAGTGGTAAGCATGGAGAATTGTTAATAATAGTGTTTACAGCAGAAAGAAATAAGCATGGAGAGGTGCTCATGAGAATGTTTACAGCAGAAAGTAGTTAGCATGGAAGTGTGTTTATGAGAATGTTTACATTATAAGGCATTACCTTGGAGAGGTGTTTTAGAATATTTACAGTATATTTACAGTGGAGGGTGATAATAAGAACGTTTACTGTATAAAAAATTTGTTGGTTCTCTGTTATATGTCTTTCTGTTGTTGAAATATTGTGAAATAAAACAAATCAAACAACTGATCGTGTTCTCTGTTGTATTATTGTCTGGGTTGGACAGTGTCAAGTTACCATATTTCACTCTCAGATATTTCAAAGTTGTGTTGCTTTTAACTTACGAAGACGGTACGCCATTTATATTACATGCTAATCTATATCAGTTGAGAATCACAGTCTTTAATCAAATGTTCAAAATCCAAATGATATTTTTTCGGTCGTTTGGTGCTGCTGTTTGCCATCCATCCCTTAAAAAACGAGAAAAGTAGCTAGCCTAGGTCATATTCACTTCCTTTTACCAAGAAACGGCATCATCACGCGACTTCTGCTGAAGTAAAACAATTTAACACTAAATAACGAAAACAACCGACGTGCATGACATTATCGTATATCAAAAGAAACGGGTGATAAAAAAATCCGACAAAAATGTATACAAACAATAAACAACCTACATAGTTTGGCAGTTAAACAACTTCTGGATATGTCATTCAGACTGCAGCATGGTAGAATGTTTAAGTTTGGTTAGATAAATTCATCTTGGTCCTCAATTCAACGTCACAGGGGTCAAATTTACAAAAGTTTTTTTTTATCATCTGTTTGATAAGACGAGTGTCATCAAGTTTGTTTATGGTCACGTGACGTAGGAAATGTGTTGTAATCATCCATTCTTGGATTTTTACTCGAACAGAGTGTGTCATAGGTGAAGTTAAAACGCTCTCCATTCCGGAACTCTTGGTCGTATTATAAGTCTAGGAATTAAAAGCCTTTATTTATTCTGCATCTAACCTGACGTAAGCCCAGGGGCCCCAAGCCAATAATGAGACACGGGATATGGGTAATTACAGGATGTAACGACTTGTAATTTACTAGTTACAATGTAATTAGTTTTACTGTACAGTAGTAAACAATGATTAGATTATACCTGTGATGATCAGTTTTAAGAATACATCATTACAGCTTGATATTTACGTTATTTTCCTCATATTTTCGATCCACTGGATGTGTCGGTATCCCATGTCAATATATATGTATATTAAACTGTGAAGTGTAGGTTAACTGGTACCATTTTACTTGGTGTAACCATGGACTCTATACACTGCTAAGAGAAATTTCCATACAGTCCAAACTTTGGCGATTTGAAACTTATTTTTTATAAGTTTCTTTATTGATGATACAAGTACTTTAAGGTCCGTATTTTCGAATGTCGTTGATGAACCCAAACAACGGTTATCCTACCAGAGCCTCTGGTCTTATTTCCGTTGTCCTTTTTCAGGAGGTTTCGAGCCTCTATGTAAATATTTCTTTTGTTCATATCTTATCATAGTTTCATAATTTAAAACAAGATTTCGTTGACATGTTGGTATTTCCTTTATTTCCTTTTTAAAAATTACATGGATGTCAACGTCTTGTTAGTGTAATGATTTAACATGTCGCATGAAAGTAGTTTCATAAATTATGGACACATTCTTTATGCCAATAACGGCATCATCACATCGTATCGTACTTGGTATCTAGGTGACAATGTTGTTAATGAAAGCACAAATGTAAAACACGTGGGTATTAATTTGAATAAATTTAAACCAGGTCGGTCTGATGTTGACGATGTTATCCACAAATTGCGAGGTCAGTGTTTTGCTCTGCTAAATTGTAATTTATTTGGTCCTAGTATCAATCCCTTGACTGGAGTCCATCTTTATTTGTCTGTTATTCTCCCTAGAGGTATGTTTGGTTGTGAGCTCTGGAACTCTCTCTCCAACGCTGATTAGCATCGCCTAGAATCAGTCCATTATTTATGTGCAAAATGAATACAAAATTTCCCACTTCTTACTAGGTCTGATGTAGCATTGGGAATGTTAGGTTTGCCTTCTATATATCTTTACGTAGAGCAATGTAAGCTTCGTTTTTTCGGGGCTTTTGTAATATCAAAACAACTTGTACTTCAAAACAACTCTTTTTGTTGCGTTTACATGAAAAACATCTTGGGGTAAATAACGCTAAGAAAGGTTTCATCAACGAAGTTTGGGATGCTTTACACAACTACAACTTCCGAGGCATCTTACTTGATTTTCTTAATTCTGGGAAATTTCCACCCAAACTTAGCTGGAAATATCTTGTAAAGAATGTCCTTCTGTGTAAAGAATCTGATGACTGGCGTTTATGTATAAACAGTTCGTTAGAATTTCATAGATTCAAAATTCTTCATCCTAATATGGTTCCTGCAGTAATTTGGTCATTTTCTAAACGCCATCCAAATTTTAACAGGACATGCAAAAATGTGGATTGTCCCTCCTACTTGTGAACTTTTATGTGCTCGATGTAAAGGCACTTTTGAAGACGCAGTCGCCCATTGTTTACTTGACTGCAAAGAGCCCATATTAATGTCTCTGCGAGATAATCTTTTTACCAGTTTTGTGGACAAATATCCAGTTAATGTGTATGTATCACTTGACCAGGCGGACAGAGATGTCCAGATAGCGTCTCTGTTGGGTGCCCCCAGTGAGGACATTTATGAATCATTTCATGACGATTCATCTTTGTTTACATTTTTTATTAAAGATTGTCTAATGTTTTCTGAAAAGGCCTACAATATGACTTTTCAGTAAAGGCCATCTCCTATCTAATGTTTGATGTGTTCTGCTAGAAATCTCCATTATTGATGGATTGGTTATTCACATTCATTGTGCAATATTTATATACATATATTCTTGCACTTTTTTTCTTTAATTTTCACCTAAATTTACAATATTTGTCATTGTAATTACTCTTTCAATATTTGGAGGAAATCAAGAAATAATGATGATGATGAAGGTGCGCACCCAACCTAAAACGTCCAAAAACTTGTAATGGCGATCCGTCGTTTTATCAGTATTTTACCCTATGCCTCATTACAAAACAGCCGGGATCCGTTGAACACAGTACACCAAAATGCATTGGACTTAAATGATACTTTCTATGTTTGTAAGGAATAATCTTAATCCTTGTGGCAGTGTGTGGATCATAATTCGGTAGGCCTCTAAAACCACCGTTCTGCTATGTTTGTACTTCAGACCCATTATCTTTAACGATCGTCTGACATTTCTGACGAGCTCCACTGCAGGGGAGGTAACTCTTGAATTATCATCATGATACTGTATGTCATTGGAGCAATTTTGGTAATTCTGGTCGTAGGCTGGTTAGTAAAATCAGATCCACCACCGAAATGTGGAATTTATACACAGCGAAACAAGTGGTATCCTTTCAAATACCACTTTCTTTTATTTGTGCTAAAATTAAGAAGGAGGAAGAACGCGAAAATGAGCACAGCGACCGGTGAGAATGCTGGATATGGTGTTAGGTCCAGGTCCAATGTCACAGATATGGAGAAAGTTCAGACACTGCCCATAGATCAACCAAAGGTAGTACCCAACTATATGTCTACTCCAGACATATCCACTTACTTTGATGTAGATCTATGTCATATCCCCATTATGTTTTTGTGTTACCCCAGATGCAGGGATACAATGTTATAAGCTTATATGCCTTTTAACCAGGGACGTATAATACAGTCCCTGCTTTAATAAATTTGACAATGTACAAAATGATGTACATGCATGATTTAAACATGTACGTTCAGGTGTATTTAATAATTATATAACGTACATGATTTATACATTGTAGTGTCTGTAATGTCTACATTGTAGATGTATTTATAATGTACTAATGTACATGTATACTAATGTATTTATAATGTACTCAAGGGTTCTGCTTGACTACAGTGTATCAATCCATGACATACAAATACATTAATGTGCATATTATACAGAGTAATCTTACTGTTGTGTAGGATCTCTGGGTCTGGATCTCTGGATATTAATTTGTGAAGAATGAAAGCCCAAAAACACAACAAAAAAAAAAACAAAAAACAAAAACAAAACATAAAGGAAAAAAACTGTTGATTCAGGGTTCATATGTACTTTATAGCCTCAAGTGAATGAGAATGGATAACCTAAATATTTCTGCTTTACATCCATTATTAAGCAACAGTTTGCAGTTTTGTACATAAAAGGCTTGTTGGTTTAAAACTGATATGGTTTCTGGTTATGATAGAAATGGTCATGGACATGGGTTTCTTGTAGTCACTAAATATAAATTGTCATTTGTCTATCACAAAAACATGAAATCAACCTTTATAGACTCAAGAAGACTCTTATCAAATAATAGTTGTCACTCCCTTCTTAAGTAATTTTTAGTTCATAGAATCATGAACTCTATTATATTGTAACAGGAGTGAAAAAACGAATGATTAGAGTTAAGACTTGGATTGAAATTTTAGACTATCGAAACTCTAGACAGACACTCTACCAGTAAAGTTAACCTGGGAATTTACACCTGCATGGTCGCCAATATTTGACCCTTGCAGTCAAGTTCAGCTACACTAAAACCCATTCAGCAGAAATGAAAATTAAACATATTAAACATCTATACATATATGTATATCTTACTGACAATGAATAATCAAGATAACTACAGTGTATATGGTATTAATCAACTAATATTTACAAATTATGAGCTTTATAATGTTACACATGGTTGATGATATAATATATTTCTATAAATTTTTACTGACAGGCCGTTGATGCTGTTTACTTTAATGGAGGGAACAAGGATGGACAGTACATGGTGGCAGCCACTGCTAGGAGACAGAACAATGTGGTCCAGACCGTGCTCTACCTCAGAGTAAGTGTCCGCTCAAGATCTCTCCTACTTCATATAAAACCTTTTTGATTTCACTTTGCTCTAGAGGATATTACCAAATACACACAAGTAAATAACACATTTGAATTCAAATTAAGAATTAGATATACTGATATGACATTTCCTTATAAGGATGAAACAGTTGTATGATGCAGTGTAATTAGGTGTTTGGCCCCAGGTCTGTATGCTGTTTTACTTCTTGTTGAATGTGGAGCTTAAGATTTCATTTTCTTTCGTCTGTGTGATATATATAGCTTCCTGGTGTTGGTCTGCTGGAGATTCCATCCAAACCAGACACCAAACTCCAGGGCACAGATCCACAGGCCTTTGCTGCTGGAGGACTGAAACTGGAGCCAGTTGATCCAATGAAAACCTGGAAGATATCTTACAAAGGCAAACTAAGGTGGGTAAGTGTAGTCTTTAGGGTTTGTCATTGTTATAAACTATGTAATACAGATAGAGCAGAAAAAATCAAAATGTATACGGTTTGGTAATCATGCCAGCTTTTCGTTCGAATGAGGGATCAACATAATTTGTCACATAAAATCCTCATCATGGACCTTGTAAATTTGATTGAGTTATTAAAATGAAGTTATGTGATTCAAAATGCAATTCTTAGGTGCTACATACTCACAGGACAAATCTTAGAGGACTTACCGTTATGTATCAGAAAGGCACCTTTCTCTCTTTGTAGCTTCATGCAGTGATGAGGTCCAAGAGGGGTGGGGGTGGGGGGAGCAGTTCATTAAAGAATTCAGACTTATTAATCTTTCATTAATTCCTCAAGTATTTATTTGACCAGCTGCTTGCATTATGTTCCTAATTTAAATATAAAAAGGTTGATTTTTTAATTTGTGGGAGGAAATTTTATTTTTACAGAAATGATGTCAATTAATATGAAAAAAAATAGAAAAACGAAATACAACATGTATTCATTTGTTATTAATGTTGCCCCTTTGAGAATAGAGGATGTCTTAAGGAAACAAAATTATTGTAACTCCATGTTTTTGTACTTATTTCAGAAATCATGAAACTCATGACGAATTAGATGTGACCTTTGACCTCACCTGGACAGCCTTCACTCCATACTTCGATTTTGACACCGATCTCCACCCAAATGTTATGGCGGACTCTATAGCTAAAGAAAAATGGTCTAGAAATTATTTTGATGTTCTGAAAAGGTAAGCAAGACTGCTAATTCATATCTGGTCAGAAGTCCATGCCTGGTAATAAGACCGCCCATATATATTCCTGTTCATTAGAATGACAAACAAATGCTATCCCATTGCCCTGCAATATGCCAGCCCTCAGACTTTGTATGTTGGGTCCATTAGCCCTATGCATTTGATGATACAAACTGGTTAGAAACCTTGCCTCCAAGTTTGGACAAAACTTGATTTTGTGAAAATAATGAAATATAGTGCCCACCTTCTCATCAAATTTTCATTAATTTTCTTTTAGAAATTGGCATAATTCAAGGTATCAACATTTATTTTATGAAAATAATCTTTTTGTTCATAAATTATTCCAGTTATTGATGAAATCATGGATAGGTTAGAATAAATTCAATTGATATTGTTACTAGTGATGATGTAACTTTTACAGTGACTATATATTTCATAGTTTTGACCAACTACGGCAGTGATTTCTTGTCATTACAATGAAACTCATTGTAGATGATATTAAAGAGAAAAGCATTCAGTATTCTGTAGATATCTTTTCCACGTGTCAGGTGTCTTAATCACTCTCTGTACAGGTACAGAATACATCACATAGGATCCTTAATCCAAAAAAAAATAGTGAAAACAAATTTCTTTCAGTGTTCATCAAACACATTACGAACAGTTTGGAGAAATATCGGGCGTCGTTGATATAGCAGGTGTAGGAGAAAAGACAATTAAAGTTCAAGGAGCCAGGGACCATTCTTATGGTAAGTTTGTGTAATGTATACTGAATAGTCAAATACAGGAAGCAATGAAGCTCCTGTGGTATAGGTCAAATTCTCTTGTCTCTTCCATTGGTAAATGTACATGCAATATAAGACTTCTTTCCTTCTTCACATACCACTTGTAGTTCATATCTATAACCTTACAGTATTTGTGATGAGCTACATGTATAGAGAAAGTGTCAGTTATCTTATTATCATTGGGTTGGTTGGTAGTTTTGTGAGGATTTATATCTTATGAGTTTTTTTCAATTGGTACTCTCATAACTTTAGAAAGATATGTATATATACATGAAGCTAAAATTCTGTCTGGTGGGTGAAATTCATAATAGCAACCATTTTTTTAAACCAGATTATCATAAATTCCAAAATCTAAACAGGATTTTCCTGAAACCATAAACTCGCCATATGCACAGGTAGCATAGACAAGGGAAACAACTCTGGCAGACTTACATCTGCTAGGTTAATCAATGTATATATCACGGGTATATTATTGTTCCATTAAATTGCCTGTAAAATTTAAAACCATAATATGTTATTTGTAAGGGAAGGCAATCCTTGTTTCTTGTAAGTCACTTCAGTTTGATATATACAATTATATTATAGTGCATGTTTGTTTGATAAACTCAAAAAAAATTGATATTTTTTTTACAGGAAATATCCGTGATTGGCGGTACTTCCATAGGTATGCCATCAGCTACGCTATGCTGGCAGACAAGACAGCTATATGTGTTGGCTGTATATCCATGCCTATCACCATGACTAGGTAAGATAAATCACATCAATATAAGTACAGGTAAAATTCATCACCTTGACCAGTTATGTCACATATCTTAGGTAGTACACATACTCTTCCTGTTTGTTCACTGAAGTTACTAGTAAGGCTAAATTGAGGGATGGGGAGGATCCCCTTGTTAAGTGGTGATTACCGCAAAGACTACACACAGGAAGCCCATCTCATGTTGTCTATAGCAATTAATGTATAGTATGCTTCCCAAGGACACAACCAATATATCACAGGATGATCTGATTCTCTCATGGTCAGCATTCTGAGAAAGACCGAACACCCCATGTAGGAATTGTCAAACCAGATTCCTTGTATCTTTTATCTGAAAATGTTGTCTCTCTGTTCAATGAATTCGAAATAGTAAATCTATGTTGTCATCTGTGTATGTTTCAGTCTTACTATTGGTTATGTGATCCACCCTGATGGTACCAAGGAATCCGTGTCCTCTTCAGAGTTCCAGTTAGGTGATCATGGTGAAGATGGGAACCCTCCAAAACAGCTGTCTTTCAAATTCATGGCAGGTAGGTGTCATCCTATATTATGAATAATAAATATGTAAATATATATATATATATATATATATATATAGTCAAGGTGATAAATATATATAATTATAAAATAAATAAAAAGAAAATGATTATTCAACCTACTCCTGGATTGTTATTTAAGGACAGTGTGGTCTCTGGATTATTTACTTCTCAAGCAGTTCTTGTTTACAGTATAGAAGATCACATGACACATAACATATTGTACTATAAATTACTTTATTTTGTGCAAGATTAATTTTTCACGAAATAAAGTAATTTATAGTACAATATTATAAGGAAGGTTAATTGCGAACTCAAATCCCTTGCGATTATTTGTACACAAATATTTCTTGATGACATCCATACTGATTCAGTTACCGATAAAAGAGTCCATATCATTTTTAACGGCCCGTCATTTTTTGGAAATTAAAGTCATTTCTAGATCTGTGTTTACGAATTCATCCTTTCGCAAGTATGTCTCGAGAGATAAGTTCGCTAAATTAAGTATTTGCGAAATCAAAGTGAATAGCAGTGTACAAGAACTCTTTGGGGACCAATCAATCCAGATATCATATCATACTCGCCAACTTTTCAAAATTCCCATGGCGGGGAATTGTACCTTACACGTGATATTTCATGAAGTAATGATCAGGTGAAAAATAATTAATTAATTGATTAATTGTGTAAATGAATAATTAATGTATATCCAATTAATAATTTAGAGATATTATGAATTTGCTGTACTATAGAATTTACTGAATTTTTTTTAGTGATTCACACTAATATAAAGTAGCAATCCAAGAGCAATTGAAAAAATGATATTTTTGTGTATTTGAAATGGCTGTTGACATCAGCTACAATTAACCAGCTTAATTTTGCAAGTGTAATTTCACAAAGTTTGTGAGGTAATTAACAAAAAACAAAACAGAACAAAAACAGATTGTATTGAACTCATTTCATGGATTGTTTGGTAGAAGTATGCTGTGAAATTCCAGAATCCTATATTCTGATTATAGATCTCAGGAAATAGTCATCAATTGTATCATTAACGAGGCAAAAAATCATGCTGGTTTTTAATGATTTCAGATGCACACAAAAAGAAATACATCAAAGTAGGAGATCAGAATTCTTAAAACCTCTTGTTGAATAGTTTGGGAATAAAGCATGTTATATTTTATTGTAAAGGTCAATAGCATATTGATAATCAAATTACTGTATCTTTAAGCAAAAGTTCTATGTTTGATCTTAACCATTGATCAAAATGTAAACCTTTCTCAATGTAATACAGCTAAGTAATTCCATGATTTAATAAACATTTCTTTACATGATATACTGTTAGATTGACAATATTTATAATCAAATTTGATCAAATCAGATTTTTTATGCATTATATACAGGAGAGAAAGAATACAATGTGACTTGTACAGAAGTAGAAGCTCCAATCTTCTACATTGGTGAGGGCCGAGATGCCAAAATACATGAACGAATGTGTACCTACAATGTGAATGGCGTACATGGCTGGGGCATAAGCGAATGGGATTACAGGTACTTGTACTTATTTAATCTATACATTTTCCAAATTCAGTATCCATTTGAATTTAAAATTTGAATTGCTGTACAATGTGTTTGTTTCTCCTCTAACAATTGAACTAGTGTTTAATTATTCCTTCATGATTTTTGTTATGGCAAGAATTTGTATAATTTTTAAGTTTGATCAAGAACTCATTTCTGTAACATTATTGCATGGAACCACAATAACTGAAATTATAATTTGAAAAATTCCTTCCCTGCCACACATCACGACAAAAAGTTTAAATATATATTTATATATGAGCATAATTGTGCTATATGTGATGTCAACACTAGGTCTACATGCAGTTACTATTAATGTTGTCTCATTACAGAAATGTCCCATTTGATGACGGCAGAACGTGATGACAGAAGATACCAAATGACTCGTGACAATGTCAGAATATATGGTGTAAAACTGTATTGTGTAAATGTTAAAAATTATAGTATAAATACTCATATTAATTTAACAGTGATCATGTGTTTATTTAAATCATCATACCCTAAAATTTTAAAAATATATATTTTTTTAAATAACAATTTAATGGTTTATATTCAGGACAGGCAAATTTTCAAGACCATCTTATTTAAATATTTTGAGCTGCAAATTAAGTGCAGTGACTTTCCCAAATTTTTGAAATATTGAATTGCCTTCCATTAATTTATTTATAATTAATAATGAAAGTAAAGTATAATGATTCCATACCACAACAAAATACTGCATTACATTCCGTATAATGATCAGATTTGTCACAATAGAAATATTTTTATTTTTTAGCTTGATTTGCTTCTTCTTGTAAATATCTTTCTTTCAAGATATGTTTCCTTGCATGGAGGTCCATGACTAACTTTCGAGATTTTAGGGTATAAGTATGTACATGTAAATGTTGACAGTATTACAGATCTTGTTCAAAATTAAGTATTTTAATCATGGAGGTTCCATGATGCTCCTTTCAATCTTTTAAAAAATGCAGAATTACATGTACCTTTCCGAGATAAATTTACTTGTTTTTAAATCATATATATTTTCTTGTAAAATGGTTTGTGATTTATATAATAAAATATTGTATACTGATAAAAAATGGTGTTTGTAGTCTACAAAATTTTCCAGCAGTGGTCACTAAAATTTGTAGGGTATAGCCTTAAACTCTGCAAGGAAGAACAGGCTAGAACCACAGGGTGGAACAGGAGACGCATATCCCATGTCAAAGAATTATTTAGGATTTGTTGTTTCAAAAACACAAGTATGGATATGGTCATAATAGATCAAAATGTCGAGGGAAAACAGTGCTTTATTTTTTAATGAGAATTGTAAGCATACCAAGTTTTCAATTTGTGAGGGAGACCTGAAAGAAATCTCTGTACAAGATTAAAATGCTGAAAAGGAATAAGGCAAATAACGTTTTGAAATATTGTGGAATCAAACTGTTATTTACAAGAACACAATCTCATGTTGTGGTTTTAAAGCCCACGAAGTTTAAATAAATTGGTGGAACTGAAGGAGGAAATATCTGGACAAAATAAAAAAACAAAGGGCAATAACTCTTTCTAAAATTGTAAAATTACAATGCCAGTAATGATAACACTATTTCATGTAATGGTTATAAAGCCTACCCAGTTTCAGAGAAACTGGTGAGAAGAACTCCATACAAGACAAAGAGCAACAAATTGTTGAATCAACCTGCTGTGTAGGAATTATAGGTCTTCCAAGTTTGAAAGAAGTCATTTGAAAACTGAGAAGTATGATCTTCGGATAACATTATTAAATCAACAAGGGCAGTAACTCTTCCAAAAACAGTTAAATAAAACTGCTGTTAAGGAAAACAACTTCATGTCATGTTATGGTGATTAATTACTTAAGCATACGAAGTTTGAAAGAAATCTGTTTGAAACTGAGAGAGATCTCAGGACAAGCGCAAGACTAGCAAGCCTGATGTCACGGGTGCGAATCCGAGCAGAGGCATTGATAATAGAAATGACTTCTGTAACAAGACTTTCACCAGAAAATTAAAAAAAAAAAATGGGTTGTTGTTATGCTGTATAAATTCCATCAACATTCAGGGGGCTTCTGTTTTACAGGTTAGCAGGATATCTCCTCGACTTTTTAAATTCAGTATGGATATGCCGGGTTGTAAACAACAGTTCTGATTATTAGATTTGCACAACATACAAGTTTAAAGCTCTTGTGGTAAGGGCTAGATTCTACTAATTCCACTAAATTCTATCAATCGTTGATCGATGCAAAAGTTGATAAATGATATGGAGACAATGCACAATGTGTGTTGAACATCAAACACATTGACCCATTCAAAACGATCACAATGGAAGTTGTCTGAGAGAAGATGGAGTAAGTCAAAAGAAAACAGCAAAGGTACCGGGTAAGATGTTGAAATTTACTTAAATCAATGCATGGTTGATTTGATATGCAAGGGCTTCTTCTCAACACGGTTTACAGAAAAGTGTTATAGTCAACATAATGATCTCAAGGGAAATATTCCATATCTTTGTGTAATATAAAGTTGGGCGTATTTAGTGATCGTTTAAAATGCCTGTTGTTTCCGATGTTGTTTACCATGTTCTAATTGATAACGTGACATAACTTACTTGGATTGACCAGGATTTGCATGACGGATGTCGTGAAAGACGAGAAGACGCTAACCTTTCCGGAACACCTAGTCTTATTCTCCTTACACTTTTTCAGTTATCTTTTTTTTGTTAATATTTCGCCTTGGTTTTGACGAAGGAGTTAAGATTCTGATGAAATTTCGGTATTTTCCATTGTTGTTAAATTTGGTCGCCATCTTTTCGATTGAAGTCCCAAGGACTCCAGACACAGTTATAACGGCCTACCTGCAAAATAAAATGCAATGCTGGATCATTATCAAAGGTATCGACTATGGCTTTGTGTAAAACAAGAACATATATTTTGCTAAACCGCCAGCTATGGTCATTTAAGGTGAGTCCAAGATGAGTACATGTATTGTCTAAAAATATTACCTTTATCAATATAATAAATCGGGACAAATGAACTCTCCATTCAATCGACCTCTGCTGATAAGAAAAACATTCACACGTGACTCGTTTATCAACGCTTATGTGGCAATCGAAAGGTAATATTACTTCGGCATTTTCTCAAAGCACATTCGCATTTTAATAACACAATAATGTATTTTATCATTTTAACAATTTTTATCGCTTTGGTTTGCGCAAATGATGTGCATGAAAATCATTCAAAAGATACAGACTTCGAAAATCTGAAACGTCAGGTGGAGCGACTGTCAGTACTTCGACAAGAAGATCACAAGGAGATCCAGCGTTTGGAAAGTTTATATATCAGTGAACGTAAAGAACGTCTTGCTTTGGGAAAGTCACTTGCTGAACTTCAGCTTTCCCAAAACGCCAGCACCTTAGCCAGGGATACACGATCAGGTAACTACACCCATCAGTCTAATTAGGGATTTTAGTCTCGTCAGCCTAAATATCTTGACAATATTATGTAGATACAGCTCTAGCAATAGGCCTATTTAATCATTTTTGTTCCGTTCCTTCTGCTACACATAAATGTAATACAGGATCTTTCTGGGAATTTTTCAAAGTTCAATTTCATGGCCAGGCACTTATCTACGATATTACAATTTCCTGATGTATGTATGCAGGTTGATGTAGTAGGCTAGTCATAATGATCTTATTTGGAATTTTTCTCTTTCGCTGTGCAATACGAAAGCGATGTGCTCGTTAGTATGTTCGATTGTTCCTTTGTTAGTACTGTTCTCATTATACCAATGCAACGAACCAGCTTTTTCTGCCAGTGCGTCCGTCTGTCCGTCACAAATATCACTGAAAGACAAATGGTGTCTCTGATTAGTTGAAAATTAGTTAATGCCCGATCATGACAGAATTTGGTTTATATCGACTTTAGTGGATGCCAAACATCACGGTATATGTTTTACTATCATAACTATGCTGAGGCAAATTGTGACCTCTGATTGGTCGAAATTTGAATATTGTCTGATTTTTACCTAATTTTGTCAATAGAGGTACTAGGGTATGCCAAAATCAATTTTCAATTGTTTAATTTCACTTTCAGTTATATGTATGACGCCTTGTCTTTGAATAACAAGAAATGTATTTATAACGTACATTGTACCCACCAGAACTGAAAATGAAAGACATGGCTCACTCTTCTACATCAGCTGCTTATTTCGATCTTTTCCTAAAACAAGACGTATGATAAACGTGATTTCGATTTCCCTGCTGTGAATTTTCCATTTTTGTATAGTAATATCGCTGCATCTTAAATCTATGGTATTAACATGCCACAGTTGATTCGATATTCAAGGGCCAGTCAAGTGACGGATAAACTATTGACACGAGGTTTCAAAAGATGCAGGTTGATGAAAACTATGGGGAAGTTAAATGGTCGACATAGTGATCTCATTGAGAATGTTTTATTTCTTTGTGTAATGTGAAGCCGGACGTGTTAGATGCTTGTTACTTTACCTGTTGGTTCCGTTGTTGTATACCTTGTTCTCATTTGAGAACGTGATATTACTTACTTGGATTGACTAAGGCTTACATGGCGGGTTTGGTCGATGAAGAAAACGCTTACTCTTCAGGAACGCTTGGTCTTATTCATCTTGTGCTTTTTCAGGAGTCTCCTTGTTAATCTTTCTTTTGTTCATATTTTATTTTGCCCTAGTTTTATCGGAATTGAGTTTGGATTATGATTAAATCTACTCTATATCTACTGTATTTTGTATGAAGTTTTTGGTGTATATCGAGCCCTTTGCGTCCGCAGGTTGTCAATTCTAGTTTTGGAATGTGGCATTGCTAAGTTGATTGGTTTGCTGCTGTCTGTTAAGCAAGGCCTCTGCATGTATGGGATGCGAGTGCATGTGTACTTTTGAAAGGCTGCACACTTTGATTTCCAAAGTTTTACATGATGGTTGTCGTCTTTGACGTAGAAGACACATACCTTTCCGTGACACCTGGTCTTATTCTAATTCTTCTTTGTAGTGGTTTGCTAGTAAATCTTTCAATTTTTATATATTGTTCTCGTTTTGTGAAAAGATTTTTCATCACAATGAATTATTATCGTTCCTCTTATTACAGGACCTCTAGTGTTCGCTTTCCACGCAATTCTTTCCCGCGATTTTAATTCAACTCAAGACAAGCAAATATTACTATTTGACACCGTGACAGCCGATTTTCCGACATTTCACAGTCACTACAACGTATCAGAAGGGAAATACAAATGTCGCTTGGAAGGAATCTATCACTTTACTTGGACAATTGGTCCAACTGGACCCGGATCCGTTGCCCAAACGTCCCTAGTGAAGAATGGCGATTTTATGGGTATGATGGTTGCTTATGACAGCTACTCTTCATCCGCTGCCACAGTAATCATGCATTTGGACATAAATGATTCAGTGTGGGTCGAGGTAGCAACTCGCGGTTCATCGGTGTTGAGAGATGTTAGTACGTTTTCTGCTTTTAGGCTGGCCGACTAAATAAATTTTTTGAATCCCTATGATATTGTTTCATTTACTTATCAATGGTTGTTTGGTCAGTAATTGGCGTTCATATTCTCTCACTCTTCAGAAAAGAATTCATTAAAATAAATAAAGCATGAAACCTCTTGGATGAACATGTTTTATATTGCATTGCCATGGTAACATTTAAGATCAAACAATTAAGGTGCGCCTCTCTGCCTTTATACAGACATCAGCTCTAGAGAAGAAAATTTCGTGAACGAAGTAAAAACTTCTTAATGAAAACAATCAGTGTTTACTAACCACTTCAGAAAGATGATTGTAAATCATCAAATTAGAGATTTTTACTAGTATCCATGCAGATATTATTAATAACCATTATCAGGACATTGTTAAAAACGTGCATGAGCGTTGTCCTTTTGGGGACAGAATTCTTACTTGGAAGTGGAAAGAGCCATGGTACCATTGGCGCTGCAGAAACCTGGATATTTATCTTAAAGAAAGAAATTCTTTAAGGGAAAGAGAAGACTTTCAATTGTTATTTTATATTTGCTGAAAGGGTATTGTAGGGAGTTACAAGTACAAACTTGAATAAGACATTTCAGACCAATAGGAATCATGGGAAAGCAACAGTGTCTACTATTCTTCGCCTTCAAAAACGCAGAAGACAAACAATCACGCCGTAAGACCAGTAGGAAGAAACGAAGAAAAAGAGAAGATGGGTTGCACTTTGAAGGCAAAATCAGGATTGGAGAATGAATCATCCATTTGACCAAGGTACAGTCGACAGCTTGTTGATGATGTTGCGTTTGCTGCTTAAAAGGGATGACAGAAAGACTCAACACCACCACAAAATGTCAGGTAATTGGACAGAGGGAAGGGCTTCAAGGCTATTTCGGTTTCTTGATATATCGTGTCAGGTGTGTAATGGTTCGGGAAGTGAGGGTAAAACATTCGTCATTCACTTTGCATCAGTTTAAGAAACTAAATGTTCGTCTATTTGTGTAAGCGACTGTCTCGAAGGTCTTCATGGGTAAATATATACTGTTTGTTTCATATTTATAAATATTCTGAAGATTCATGCAACAGTATTTCTTATTTTCCAAGAGGAGTCTTGATGGCGACCATTTTTGGGTGCATATATAAATTTTTGTTCTTCAAGAATTGTAGCTTTTTTTCTACCGATTTTTATCTTTAATTCTTAATTACATGAAATATGAATATTATTCTCATGAAATGGCGATAAAAATCTTTAACTGCCGAGTCTAATATTGTCATCTGTTTGTAATTTGGAGTGGTCCAAAAATCAAAACGGCACATTGATGAGGGTAAGCATAGTATGGAATTTGTGAAAGATACATCCAAAATTTCTCTGTAACTCGTGATAACAAACTTTCATTGTCACCATCCAAGTCTGTCAGCCATTTCTTCTGATTCAATACGGCGAAATTAGGGACAAAGGGGAACTGAGATATTGAATCTGCAGAAGATCCATCAAGTACTTTATGGGAAATAACATTAAAAAAAACTTTGATATTCAAAATCCAAGATGACCGCCTATCAGTTATTATCTGATCATTCTTAAAAGGAGGGACGAAAGAAACTACTATATCAAATTTGTTACAGATTCAGAGCATCTGGATAGAGATTGAAGTGAATTTATTTGAAACCTGTATTATTATATTCCAAAGCGGATCCTAAGTGTAATTAAGACAAGCAGAAAAGTCTCATTTGCTCAAATGCCGCCACCATCTTGAACTTATCTTCACTTTTGGCTCGCGTCTGTACATCAATATGAACAAATCACCGATAAATAGTAATTCGAATTTTACATAGTCTTGTCTATAAAACCTGCCTGGAGCCTGGAGGATACATCCAGTCCATTTTTTCACTACACAGAACCACAAAGATGAGTAGCTTCACAATTTGGGATGAGGATAACGAATTGACGCCATCAACGTCATCACATGAATGTCGTTATCAGTATCGGCAGGGTCACATTTTCTGTATATGACGTTATCAATATGGACAGGATCACATTTTCTGTGTATTACGTTATCAATATTGATGTGAAAAAAACGGAAGTCTTCCTACAACACCTTTACATTTTTTTTCACTTGAATTATTACGAAGGCGATTATCTAAAAAGATTTCTTTAAAGGAGTGTTTTTGACGCCTCTCTTTAACACTGCGCATTCCTGGCATTTTTATTTATTTGTTCATTCATTTATTTATCTATTTTATTTATTGAAAAAAAATACAATGAAAATAAAACCAGGTGTTCAGGAATACTTTGTGTCTTTTTCATCGACGACATCCACCAGGTAAATAAGATGCGGCTCATTTCAATTTTCATTAAGGAATACTAGGCTTACTTTCGAGTAGGACCTATTTTCGTCTTATATTCGACACGTTTTATAGATTGTTCATGTCAAGATGAGTTGGTCTCGACATTCGCAGTCATAGCTACGAAAAAAAATCACATCTCTGAAACACAGTAAATGATTTATTTACCCTGTAGGTTAAATAAATTATTAACTTACTAAATCTTTTTTAATGTCTCCGTCTGCTTTTACTACATTGTACACACCTCACTACATGAACGTTTCAAACACAAAGGCCGACACCAAAATATATACATGATTTAATAACGAGGCCAGCATACTTACTATCACGTGACTACCATATGGTATAAGTTTGTATTTTCTATCCGTGTTTGTTATTCATACTGTACCATAATGACCTATTTATCATATCTATTAAAGTTCGGTAGATATTAGTATAGTGTTGCACTGAAACTTTGTCACAAAGGATACATATCATAATATGTATTTTCAGATCTACCTTCCACAACAACATAAAATGATACCAGTTTCTTTATAGACATATCAGGTGTCTATTTATGTATACTTGATAGACCTATCAACATTACGGTTTACTCGTGTGACTGATCTTAATGAATGTAATGACCTTCAGGATATTGATTACAACTTGTATATATATATTTAGTAGTGTTGTAATTAGTGTCCCTATCTATTTCAGAGAATGTATCATGAATTTTGAAATAGTATAATTTTTTATTATTTTTTTCTTTTTTTGTTGATGAGCAATACTGAGCCTTGCCAAATCCTTGACCATATTCTATCTTGATATAGCTTTAAGAAATCTTAAGTAATCTTATGTGAAAAAGAAAGTATTCTTGATATGCACGTGCTTAACAATAAACATTCATTTTAGAGTATACTACGTGCATCATTCAATGTCATGATTCTCAATACATGAGGGACACCCAAGGATTAAGAATTTTGTTCTAATCAAATACGCAATCAAAACGCTAAAATAGGTTCTTTCAAGATGCAATTACACTTGGATCATGGAGCAAAGTTCGAGGTATTAAAGGAAATGAATGTTTAAACTATTGCACATTGAAAAGACTCGTATGACACTATACGGAGCACAGTCGGATAAAATGGTAGAGAAAGTCAAGAGAATTATGGAATCAAAGCCTTCTGCTATTGCCTTGACACTGCCTCGCGTTTGGTCATTAGTTGTTAATACGCCCTTGCGAGGAAGCTTATGGAATCTGTCCCTAGTTCTTATAAGGGAACATTTTAGCGGTGTGCCTGAAATGAACAAATAATGATTAGACGTGCTTACATAAAAATCGTCTCTGATCAACTATCTTCCACATCAAAAAATCTATCTTACGCGGATCAATATAACGTTTGTACTTATATACACAGAAACTGCTACAACAACAATATACCATTAGAGCTCTTTCATGTAACAATTGTAGATAAAAAAAACATGGTCAATATTAGCTAAGCGTGATAATTGAGCCTCATCAAAGTCTATTTGTCCGAATCTATGACATATCAGAAAAAATCCGTTTGATTTTTGTTCCATCCCATAGGCAATCACTGTAAATATTTGCTATAACTTCATACTTTGTAAATGAATGATTGTGTAAACGACACGCAAATGAATAGCATCATGTCATATAAATTTATGTAAAATACAAACAATGAATTTAACTGCATCTTCTAGCAGTTTCGCCATTCTACGACAAGGCAGTAATGCTAGGGGCCTAAATGTTAAATCTAAGAGGCGACTGAAGGAAATCCAATGTAATCGAAAGAAATGGTATTACATTGTATTTAGATGAGAAATGGGGAAGTGTCCTATAATTTAGTATATGTTGTAATTCTCATATCTCTGATAATTTTAGAAATTTATAGAGTGCATATCTATATTTCAAACCGTGCTTCTATTTAATTGAATTAAAAAGTATGATGGATGATTGACTGTTTATTATGAGTTGATGACATTTTGTATCCCTTCCATATTCCTTTTTCCTTATGAATTTATTTTCCTTTAGAATGCCTTTAACGGCAATGCTTCGGTTTCAGTCTCTGTAGATGCATACCCACGGTAAGGAAGGCTGTGGATTTTGTACCTCAACCCAGACAAAGCTACAAACCGAGAAAACCAGTATTAAATTGGTACCGGTTTCTACTCGACGCGCATCATTAAATGATAGGTAGGGACTACTTATCTTGTAGTCGGTATCAGTTGACCGATCGGGTATGCATACTGCCGTATCCTGGTCATGTCTTTTCATTGTGGTGATAGTTTGCCCCGGCAGGTAGGGCATCAATGGTACGTGTTGTACTCATTGTATGACTGAATGACTGAATGACTAATGTAACCCTGTTCCTGGAATCTTTGTCTTTTCTAAAGAGAATTTTTTTCTTCTTCTGACATAATCGGTGTTCGTTTTCTTGTAATTGTTATAAAAGATGAACGGCAGTACAAATCAATGGTTGTGAACTATACTTAATTATATTTCCTGAAAAAACACGTCCTAATTAAAGAAGAAATATACGGAGGACGAAATCATAAGAAATGATAGCTTATGGTTGAAAACATCTTGGTGGTAAGATCTTCCATTAGGCTCTTGGCATAGCTATGGAAAATAACTGTGCCCCTCTGTTGGCTGACTTGTTTTTGTTTTCACT